TTTTCGTGAACAGCATTCAAAACTCTATCGATCCATCTGGGTCTCCATTCAAAGTTCCAAGATAAGTAGACTACCCCTCCTTGGTCAGACCCCGTTTCCTCGAGTGATTCATTGCTTGAACATAACGGAATCATGGAGAAAGATTAAAGAATAACCCCAGTCGTCACTAACCACTCCGAAAAGCAAAATCCATGCGTTGAATAATATACTCTGTTGGTGGTAAGACAGTAAGAGGGTTGGCTATAATGAGCTGTAACATCTTAGAGAAACTTTCGCTTTTGAAAGATGCTGTACTTAGCTGGACAAATCATAGGCGGGAGTGTAACAGAAGCGCTCAGAAACAACCAGTCGCTAAGATGTGGTCTTCCACCGGAACAACACCAAATCAAACGTAATTTTGACCAACCTTTAAAAATTCGGTTTATGGTCCTGATACTCTAACCGCATCTCTCATGTAGGTCGGATATAGCACCATCAGACGATTCTTCAACCAGATCTTTGCGATACTCATTTTGTGGGAAATCTTTTGATTCTCGGGAGGGCTGCAAAATGGCGGTTAAACTCGCGATATCGTCTTCTTGTAATGATTATAGCTTGCAAACTTGTGATCAGCCTTCGTGAATATTCATTGTTAGATAAGTCGTAATCCGCTGTAAAGGCCAACTGGTGCAGAAATGTTCAGAGTATGATGATTGGTAGGNAGGTGTGTTCAGAAATGATTAAAAAAATCTGCAATGAATAAAGAATGAATTTTATGATTTAATACCGATGGTACGGTTGACAGGCATGAGTCTGGCGTCCTGACATTGTCACAAAGGAGAAGCGCCCGGTGTAAACCCTCGGATGTATCAGATAATTGTTGGTAAATCATTAAAGGCATTGATTGGAGTAGAATAGAATAGCGGGCAGGACAATTCAGGACAAAATCCAAGGGTTGTCAGGTAGTAAGTCTAATAATGGGGTTGTAACATAACGATCAGATTTCTGAATGTTAACGTCCATCCGGCTTTCATATTTGTTAATCTGCTGTTTTTAAAAATGTTAAGTGGTTAAAGAGAACATTTTGTAGCGTATGAGCGCCTTCAGACAAGCCGTGCAAGGCATAGAACATGCCCAATATTCTGCCATCTAGCTATCCTTCGCCCGTATCATGAAATAAGTGATCTTCGTGATCAAAGTTTGTGGAACCCGCACTTATAGTTTGCTCTCGGGGATTCTACAAGATAACAATCCGGTTGCACTTAGTCAAGAGCAGAACTGTTCTGCCCTGAATGGTAGTAATGGCTCCATTACCTCTAAGTTTTTCGTGATTGTTCACTCCAATACGAGAGGCACTTCGGCTAAAATTTCTACTGCTACAGCTAGGTCCCAGGTTAGGTCACAATTCTTCAGTAATAGAATTTGCACTCCTTTCAATGCTCTTTTGCGTAGCAATCTTCCTGGAGACTATAATATGTTTAAAAGAGCGCTGGACAAGTACATCTGATCTGGCTCTGCTCCCAGTTATTTTACTTCACTTTATCTATTTTGTTCTATACACTTGTGTTGTTGATGTATGCTTTGTTAGTGTTGTTACTTACCACTGGACTGCTGTTCCACATGCCTAATGGCGTGTCCGTTAATAAATAAATAAATAAATTACGTCCACCATAACAGGACCTGCTCATTACATCCATCTGAGTTGATTTCCAATTTGTATTTTTAATCTGGCAGGTAGCTATTTTCGTATGTTTTGTGATGTACTTTCGTATAAGTGTGATTAAGTTTAATGCTGCATTTAAGGAACAGCTACCGCCTCTTCTGGTCGCGCACGTGCCGGCAACAACGGAGGGCTCTGGCGTTTTTACACGGAAGATTCGACTGGCTTGAAGATTGGACCTGTGCCGGTTCTGGTGATGAGCCTAGTTTTCATCGCATCAGTGTTCGTGCTTCACATTTGGGGAAAGTTCACACGAAGCCGCGCCTGAATCGCAATCACTTTCTATTTATGGGTCTTTGCTGTGTTCGTTCACGTATCTTTGTATCTCTTTGATTTTGTTTGTGTAATATTCGAAAGATGCAAGAGGATTTGTTTTATTACTTGTTGAATATGTAACATAAATAGTACGATAACTCGAGTCTTTGTAGTGCACTTCGAGAACTTAAGCTTTACATTTCCACACCATCTGTGATATTTGGCTGTTCAGAGGGGATTATGCAGTGCAGGCGTTGGAGCTGCGTTATTCAGGATCGTTTTTGACCTCCACAATTTTTCGTGATATTCCGCCTTCCGCTGGTCCTAGAAAACGAGTGAAACTCGGTTTAAACAAAACTCTATGATATTAGAAAAGTATTATCATCAAGTTGCATACGCTATTCATTAAAATACATGGACAACAAAAATCGTAATGATCACACTTTTAGGATGAACTCTTGGTCCTAGATTCGAAGTAAGCATTGAAAGTGCGATACTACGAAGCAAAATTTTAGGAGGAGACTGGCTTTTCTCGCAACAATTGTTTTCTAAGAAACTTGTGATCTTGCAAAAACAGAAACATAAAGCACCGAAATAGTTTGACCTTGATCAGTTTTGCAAAGCTCTTTGCAAGGGAACTAAAGGTGATTGATATCGTGTTGTCCTGCTGACAGTGATTTTACTCAGGCTTATGTGCTCACGTACTCGTTTACCGAATTTCCGTTATAGCTGATAATGGGCTAGTTTGGGAGAAGAGCCAGAGTGCATTGAGCTTTGATCAGGAGGAAACGTTGATGTGAAGAGGAAATGATCCGTAGTTGTCACCACTGGCGAATCTGGAGAATAGCTCAGCTCAATGTGGTCAAATCACCAATCAGGACATCCAGAGGCCACAACTTATTGTTTGCCCTGATAATTGATATTTCACAAGGAGGGAAGTTGTTTAATGTCGTGCTAGGCGAGGTGGAATAGCTAAAAAGCGGCCGAAGTCAGAAACGCAAACTCCTCTAGAAGAGTTTTCCAGCCGGGAAACAGTAGAGTGAGACTATCAGAGAAAAAAGGGCAGATGTGGAGCT